AACTCATGCCCCCGTGAGCCAGGGGTCTGGCTACGGTTGCAGGTGGGAAGCAAGGCCCCAAACTGACCAGAGCCTGGGGGGCATGTTTTTCAGAGCAGGAGACATTTTTTGACAAATGCTGACATTTTACAGTGTGAACAGAGGACACTTTGCTAAACAAGCCAAGCCAAAGGAGACCAGGTTCACACCGCATGCTCCCGGCTGCTCTCCCTTCACAACCAAGCCTACAGGGAAAGAAAACAGTCACCGGAGGCAGGAGGTGGGTTGTTAACCTCTCCCAATTCACAATACAGAAAGTTAGAAGCTGCTAAAATGCAGGTAACACCACCAAAACATTTTTATAAAACCAATGGAAACGAGAAGGGAGCTCATTAAATACATTCATTTGGCTTGGTTCCCATATGGAAATACCCAGAAGTAACACAACTGTGGACCGCTACGGGTTCTGTAAGGGGTACCATATTTTAGCACCATTTACGTGAATACAGATCAAGGCATTTTTCAATATATAAAAGCTCTTAACATTAAGTACAAAAAATATTTTGAAGTTCATAATTAAGCTCAGCCAGCCCTGGTTACTGGGATAACAACGGCCAAGACTGGATATTTCGAGCCCCGTATCCTTTCCTTGTATTACCCACGATTTGGTGATTTCATTCTTGACAGAGACTCACACCCAAGAAATCACAAGACTGAGATAAAACTCCAGCCATTGTTCTCCTGCATTAACAGCCTTGGCTACTAATGAGCACTCAAAATATTTAAATATACAGGTGGCCATAAGGCCTAGGAACAGAGACATACATAATAATTGGTTTGTTGATACAAGATTTCAATACACTTAATATATGTCTATTTCCAGACTTAGTGGCCACTCTGTATAGTTTAATTATACATACTAACCCATTCCACCATTCCCAATAATAAATTTCAATTTACCATGAAAACAATGCTAATGGGGCAGGTCACCTCCATGCTCCCAATGTTGCTGGGCCCTGGGCTGTGGGACCTCATGCACAGAAGAATGTCACGATGTGACTGCAGACCAGCGTGCACACGTGTGCACACACACACACGCGTGCACATACACATACCCCTCCTGGTCATGGCCAAGCCTAGCTTGCTCCTACTGCCACTAGGGGTGGGGGCAGCCAAACCAGTTTAGCTTTGTGCTTTTCACCGCTCCACGTTATACTCTGAATTACACAAGCATTAACAACCAGCTGCCCGTGCCTTTATTCAGTGCACAACTCAGCCCTGGCTCCCTGCTCTCTCCAGCCCCTCAGAAGAGATCACCAGCAAGGTTTCCAAACGAGCTAAACATTAAATATTATACTTCTGTTAAATAGGGAGCTTAAATAGGAAAAGGAACTTGCAGAATCCATGCACAGAAGTCCTTTCCTCATTCAGATTTTTATCCTTTTATCACTTAAGCCCAGGAGGTCTGTCAGGCATCTGTTGTTTTGTTTCTAAACACCATTTTTAATCTAAAATCAGTTCTTCTTCCTCAGTTCACTTCTTACAGTTCCTTGGGCCATTTTTAAATTACTTGACACGGTGCCCTGCCTTTGCTAAACTACGTGGGGATTCTATGCCTCTCACTGTAGATTCACCTCACACACACCCAGGGCTTCCTTTTTATTGCTTTTTAAGTAGTCACAGATCTCAGGGAAAAAAAGGCATTATTTTTATGTATGTCTACAAATAAGATTCCCTGAAGGTCTATGCTTCTGAAAATACTTTCTGGCTTTCAAAGGGGGAGTACCTGCAAAGTATTGCTTGAGAGAGAGGAATATAATCAAACTTCATTTTAATATGAAAAAGGAGACACAGCTAGAAAGTCTGAGTCCCACTTATACGCCACGATGGTAAGAGTGCTATATCATCAAAGGCGATGCAGCGCTTCACGGTCATCATCTGGAGGATCTTCCAAAAGCAGACTACAAACTCTGGGTAAAACAGCACCTGAGGGGGAGGGGGCGGACAGGAGGAATAACACGGCCTCTTATAATTTTATTTATTTATTTATTTTTCCCCCCAAAGCCCCAGTAGATAGTTGTATGTCATAGCTGCACATCCTTCTAGCTGCTGCATGTGGGACGCAGCCTCAGCATGGCCGGAGAAGCGGTGCGTCGGTGCGCGCCCGGGATCCGAACCTGGGCCGCCAGCAGTGGAGCGCACGCACTTAACCGCTAAGCCATGGGGCTGGCCCAACAAGGCCTCTTAAAGAAGAAAAAAAACCAAGCACATAAAAACCCACAAAGATTGTCTCTTCCGACAGAGGGTGTTAGACTCACGTGGCCTGAGATTTTACCTGAGAAGCTTTACAATTGGAGGGAAAAGAATACTGAAAGGATATAAAAGCAATGTCTGTTTTCCTCAATCAAAGAAAAATTTCATCAGACATTAACTGAATATGTAACAGTATAATAAAAGTGCAAATGGCTGTATCAAAAAAGCAGGGTCAGTCCTGTTCTGTGCATTTAAAACATTTCAGATATGCCATATTCTAAGGAAGAGGAACTGCAAACATTTCAGATCAAACCCCAGCTAGGCCTAGATCCTAAGTTAAAGACCACACACTGGCCTCTTGTTCTCAACCTGCCGCCATCACTGTTCCACGTGCATGAGTGAAATCAATGGATGCTGGATATGCAGAAGGAGCTTAGCAGGTGAGGAGGGGAACCAGAAAAAGTTCTGAAAGAGCAGTGTAATTCCATGGAACTTGTTACAGGGAAATTCTTTCAGGTTGTTTTTTTTTCTTTTTTGGCAAGTCTATTAGGTGGGTTCTTTTACGTTTAAATGCACGTTAAATGAGCTCAAAATGTGAAGTCATGCCTGCTTAAGGTGGAGATCATCCTTCCGTCAAGACCATAGGGTCCAAAACCTCTGAACTTGTGCAATAAATTCTGGGCTAGAGAGTAAGCACAGCGTAGTTCCTACTACTTTCCTTTCTCCAGAATACTTTGCCATTTTAGAGATCCCTCCAAGCATATTATCCTCCTGAATCCATTTTGGTCTCAATTCAATTTCTATCCTGCTGATGTCACCCAACCAGCCCAAGACCAAGAATGAGAAATGGAATTAAGACTCTGGGCAACTGAAGTTGCAACAAAGAAATGTTATTTTTAAAGTTGGCCAATCATTTATATTTCCTAAAGTACTGTTTCCTTGAAAGCTTTGCTTCTCTGATGCTATGATCCCTCTAAGCCTGGACGACAGTGTGAGAGCAGAGTCTCATAAGGCCTTGGGACAGAAAGCAACTTAAAATAAATGCATCCTTTTGAATCTTTATCAATGAGGTGGTTAAGACCACAATTTCTGCACACACTCTAACAATATCATACACAGAAACAAGAAAAAAGTATGAAATGTAAACAATTAAGTTGCCCAGAAGTCCAGTTCACGTTCACTAAAATTAGAACCTTCTCAAAATGCAAAGACAGATGATCATGAGTATTATTAAATTCAATAGTGGATATGAACCAACGGTTAGAGTCAATGTCACCTCCGAAGGACACAGACCCCTACTGACTTGTACAATCTAAACGTTTGAAGTTGTGCTTTAAAAAATGTTCAAGAATGAACAGTAAGCATTTCCTGTCGTTAAGTTACAAACACTAAAATGAAGCACTGAAGCCAACAAGAAGTCATTATTATTACTTTAATTTGGCTTCTAAGCCCCTCCTGATTTGAGGCACCATCGTATTTCACAGTGAAGAACACAGCCTCTCCAGCACATTCACAGACATTTAGAGCAGAACTTGATTCAAACACTCTAATGAATAAACATCTACCAAAACGTGGTGACTATTACTGATTGGTAATGGGAAAAATACTAATGTAACAGTCTGCATAGTTTTGTGTGTCAAGTTTTCTCAGCTAAGAATTTTAATTTTTAAGTGAAAGCAAAACTTACATTTTCAAAAAAGGTTTGCCCGTCCCAAAAAAACAGACTAGATAGCTTATAAACTATATTAAATTGGCCCAAAGACTTTAATTATTATAAAATAAAGCTTGAGTATGGGTAACACTACCTCCACAAATGCTGAGCAATTCAGGTGCTGCTGACCCAGTCCTCAAGAGGGACACATCTGGTTCCTGTGAAGTGTCCTCAGGCCACACCCCACATGTAGGGGGCCTAACACAGACCATGCTCAGCTGGGCTGCCCTGTCCCTACCCCCTAGTCACCACCCTAGCCTGTGACCATGCAGGCAATCGTTCATGGCCAGGAACACTGCCTCCTTCAGGCTTCCCAAACCAAATCCAAGGCAGATGCAGCTCAGCCCTACTTTTGCACTCAGTTTTAATACATGCTTCCGCTTACAGTCACTCATGAAAAACCTCAGACACTTTGCTGTTACTCAGCCCCTGCAAGCAGATGAGTTACAGGAATTTGGCAACGGAAGCACCCTCAAAAACACAGCATGAAAAGAGCCCAGGATCCAGCTCATTCCCACCTCTGAACTCAGATGAGTGCTCGCAAGTCATTTGGCTTTAGTTTTCTCCTCTAAAAACGCAGTGTATCTAAGCTCTGTTCTGACTATAATGTTGTGAATCTGTGGAACTGGAGAATCACGCACAGCCCCTGACACTGGAGCTCAACCGCCAGCAGCGCTCTCCACCGACAGCGACCACCTGCACCACGCACCAGACCCGGTGTGTCCGCAGCCCCTGGCACCTGCCTTGCTCTTGAAGAGCAAGCATTTCCAGGTGCCACTGCCTCCCTCCTGCAGCTTCTTCTCCAGCCTTTAAATAAGTCACTTTTGGACCCAATTCTTAATCTTCTATTAGACAATCCACTTAGAATACCTTTAATTAATATGTAAACCCAAACCACTGCTTGAAGAGGCTATCAGAGGATGTTATGACTGTGCCGTTAACAGACTCCATCCCCAAATTATACCATGTGAGCAGATTGCATAGGAAGGGCACTAGAGAGACCCATTACCACCAAAACAAAAAAAATTACTATCTTAAAAAAAAAATTGAAAGCCAGTTTACAATTAGAGAAAGTTTTGATTTGAGACATAAAGAATACAATCCTCTCCAAAATGAGTCTCCTCTGATACAAAAGTATTTGTTTTTGGAGAAGTGTAGTTTGCACCTTCCAACAGGCGTGCTCTGAAGGCCCCCCCCTGAAACATGCTGCATCACAGATGAGGGGAAAAACTTGGTTAATTCTTCTTATCAAACGCTAGTCTTCAGAACATCCCAGTCCAGCTTGGCTCACAGGGCCCAAGAGTTCTCACAGGTCATTCTAAGAGACTCACAGGCCCGAAGACCAAGCCAAGGAGCTGCCTGCGCACCTTGGCCACATCGCCAGGCTGTCCCGGCATGCTTCTCTCACAGACTCGTCTCCTCACACACTCTGACGGGGATGTTGTAGTGCCGATCGTCCTCAGCGATCAGGGTCACCACCGGCCAGTCTCTGGGTGGGTCAGTGGGGTAGACTGTGATGAACTCTTCAGTGCTGTACTTGGAGAGGCGGTACACCTGGATGGTGTGGCGGACGGCATAGGCGAGAAGGAACATTTCAACCTGGGGGAAGAGCAAACGGGTCTGCGGAGGAAAGCTACACTGAAGATGCAGCTCACCACCTGCCCCGTCCCATGTGTCCCAGGAGTGCACAGCATGGCTGAGCCGCAGCCTCTCTTCCTCCCCGTGGGCCCAGCCCAGGCCTCTTCTCTACAGTCCTTATAAACAAGCAGATCATCAAGAAAGGATCATACGGCTGATAAGGGATTTGTATCTAGAATATAGAAAGACTCTCACAACTGAACAATAAAAAATAAATAACCAGTTTAAAATTGAGCAAAGGATTTGAATAGAATAGCTATTTCTCCGAAGAAGATATGCAAATGGCCAATAAGCACCTGAAAAGTCACCAGGGAAATGCAAATCAAAACCACAATGAGATACCACTTCACACCCACTAGAACAGCCGTATCAAAAAGACAGGTAATAACGGCAGTGACGGCTCATCTTCTGGGTGATGAAAATGTTTTGGAACTTGATACAGGTGGTGGCCACAAAACACTGTAAATGTGCTAAAAGCCACTGAGTTGTACACCTTAAAATGGTTAATTTTGTACTACATGAACTTCACCTCAAAAAAAAAAAGTGTTGGTAAGGATGCAGAGAAATGGGACTCTGAAACATTGCGGGTGGGAATATAAAACAGTGCAGGTGCTTTAAAAAACAGTTCCTCAAAATTTTAAACAAAGAATTACCATATACCCACTCCTTGGTATATACCCAAGAGAACTGAAAACACATGTCCATACAAAAAACTTATACATGAACGTTCATAGCAGGATTATTCATAATAGCAACAAAGTAGAAACAACCCAAATGCCCATCAATTGATGAATGGATGAATAAAATGTGATATATCCATACAATGGAATATTATTTGTCAATAAAAAGAAGTGAAGTACTGGTATGTGCTACAATACAGATGAATCTTGAAAACACTAGGCTAAGTGAAAGAAGCCAATCACAAAAGACAACATATTATATGATTCCATTTACTATATGAAATGTCCAGAATAGGCACATCTATAGCAACAGAAAGTAGATCAGTGGCTGCCTAGAGCGACGGGGAGAGGAGAATAGTACTAACATGTACAGGGTTTCTTTTTTTTTTTTTTTAATTTTTTGTTTATTGCAGTAACATTGGTTTATAACATTGTATGAATTTCAGATGTACATCATTATACTTCTATTTCTGCATAGATTACATCATGTTCACCACCCAAATACTAATTACAACCCATCACCACACAGGTACAGGGTTTCTTTTAGGGGTGATAAAATGGTCTAAAAGTAGACTGTAGTGATGGTTGCAAAACTCTGTCAACTACTAAAAACCACTGAGTTACACACTTTAAAAGGGTAAACTTAGGGCCAGCCCGGTGCCATAGTGGTTAAGTTCACACGCTCTTCTTTGGCGACCCAGGGTTCGCAGGTTTGAATCCCAGGCGTGGACTGTCGCACCGCTCATCAAGCCATGCTGTGGCCCACATACAAAACATAGAGGAAGATGGGCATGGATGTTAGCTCAGAGCCAGTCTTCTTCAGCAAAAAGAGGAAGATTGGCAACAGACGTTAGCCCAGGGCCAATCTTCCTCTCAAAAAAAAAAAAAAAAAGAGGTAAACTTTATGACGTAAATTATATCTCAATAAAGTTGGTTGTTTTTTTCTAAAATAGACTCTCCATTACAGCATTTCTGTGGGGACTCAGAAAGGACTAACTTTAGTCTAATGTGCAAACCATGCTCTACTAAGCTTTTTTCTGTAAGGTATTTGCTACAGTTCAGGAGACATAAGTAATCTACATTATAAGTACAGATAATTTTTTAAAATAATTATCTTCAAGCCTCCCTGAGCCAGCAGTGATCATTATCTTTGCTCTTTCCTACATACCAGGGAAAGGCAAGCACAAAAGTTAGTCGTGTAAACAGGAAGGTAGCAGTTTGGATGGAGAGCCTTAATGCTACTTTAGTGGCTGGCCACTCCACTGAAAAAAGGCAACGTAATGAACGCACTGAAGATAGACAGTGCAACTGTTGGCTCACAGGACAGTACTGCATTGGGTCTCTGCATAAAACTCCAGACTTAGCATATCTGTACAGGATCCAAGAGCAGGCTGGGCTCTACTGGTTAAGGTGACTCCCTTGCTATTTTTAACAGATGCTATCTAATACAGCCACAGCTGGCAGGACTAAACAAGGCCCTTCAGATGACTCTTCCAAGTGCTTCATTTATTTGTAGACTGACCCCCTCTACCACTCTGCAGAAGAAAGCCTAGGCTGAGATAACTGTGGTGGTTTTAAAATAGCTTCACAATTCTTTACACTCCTCCCTTGAAAAGGTAGGGCCTAATGCTCTTCCCTTGAGTGTGGGATGGACTGAATGATTTGCTTCTAACAAACAGAGTATGGTGTAAGCGATGGTCTGTGACTTCCAGATTAGATCATATAAGGCATTGTGGCTTCCTCCTTGCTCTCTTCTTGGATCACTTTCTGAGAAGCCAGTGGCCATGTTGTGGGGACACACAAGCAGCCCCATCGAAAGGCCCACGTGGTGAGGAACTGAACCCTCCTACTAACTAACTACCAATGAGGGACTGAGGCCTCTTGCCAACAGCCAGGTGAATGAGCCATGTTGGAAGTGGATCCTCCAGCCCCAGTCAAGCCCTCAGATGACTGTAGCCCTGAACAATGTACAACTGCACCCTCCTGAGACCCCAAGCCAGAACCGCCCAATGCAGCTGCTCCTGTATTTCTGACCCACAAAAACTGTGAGATAATATTTGATGGCTAAAGTGTGTTTTGGGCTAACACACTCCCAAAGGTACAACTCACCTGTTCAAGGCCACCAGTGTGTCCCACCTGGTTTAGATGGTTCCTCAGCAGCTGTCCAGGGTCATTTGATGTGTCCCGAGCAAACAGAAGCACAGAGAAAAATGGTACTTCTTTTCCCTTCTCTTTATCATCATATAGTTCAATGGCTCTGTTCAGCATTAGAAATTTTACAGCTTCATAGAGGCTGTATTCCTCCTCTTCATTTGTGAACAGTTCATCACAAGCTATCTGCCTTGCTTCGGCAGTTCTCAATTCGGCCAAGCCTGCCCACTACAATAAGAAAGTTACATAATAATTAAATTTTTATTCTACAAGTCCCTGGTATACTTCCATACTGTGAGCACAAAATGATTTTCAAAAGTAGGCAACCGTGACTCACGTAATGCTCAGAACATTCCTGTTTCCAGCTCAAACAATGGTGTTTAGACCACACAAATTCCTCATTCAGCTTTTCCCCCATTAATTTGAAACAAAAGTACAACGCATTAAGGAGAAGCACTGGGGCCATGGAATAAAAGTTTGACTCCCCTAACTTCCCAGGCAATGAGATGGACCCAATCAATCAGAAACACTTACAGAAGAGCTAATGTGCGTGCATGAGGCCCGTGTGTGAAGCTATGAAGAGGAGCTAAAACTACTGCCCCACTACAGGGCCTTACAGGAGCAGTTACCACCCAGAAACACCAAGCCAACCTTCAACAATGAAGACGAGCAAAGAGGATTGTGAGGTTTCCTGAATATTAGTTTTCTAAACTTACTCCTCTAATGTCTTAAAAACATACGTGACTTTCAAATAAATAAACCCATTCAGGAAATTCTTACTGACTCCTGATTACAAATAAAGCAGTGTTAGGTATTCAACTAACACAGCCACACTCTTGAAGTGAACAAGAAAACCCTAAAAATATATGTGCTTTTAAGCTAAAGTGAATGAGAATAAGAGATGCCAACATAAAACTAATCCTTATGAACAACTAGTAACTACTACTTCTCTCAAAAACCATTAAAATTTCAAATGCAAGAGTATATTTTAATGATAATGACTGTACCACTCTCCAATATTTGAGTTGAAAGCTGGAACATCTCATATTTTGAGTATGGCTCTAGAGTCAGAGAGTCAGAATGGAAGCCTTGCCACCAAGCAGGTGGTGGCTTTTGCATGGCATTAACCAAACCGTGGGCCTTAGTTTCCTCATCTGTAAAATGGGGATAAGCACAGCAACAACTTGGTTATTGTGAGAATTAAGTAATGCCTCACACTTTTAGTGTACAGCCTGGCACATAGGAAGTGGTAATAATGCTGGCTCAGATTATTAATGAATAATTTTAATGTTGTTGTAAACTGGAATCACTTAAATACTCCCCAAAATGATGATCTAGTTACAGCAGACACACCTAAAAAATGCAAAAACCGCAATTTCATAAGAACTTAAGAGATAAAAAGGAAATGGTCACCAGTGGCTGAGATGAAGAGCCTTCCTGTTCACTCTCACAGGGCCAGAGCCCTGCCCTCGACCCTCCACTACCCCAGGGCCTGGGTAAGCACGGGCCTCCGGCCCCCACAAACCCTGTGCTCTGCTTCCCTTCTCTTGCTCCCATGTCTTTATCAGCAGTCTTCCTTTGATAGTGTCTTTTCCAGTAAACATTTCTTATGTTTCTAAATAAAAACTAGGTTCCAGGAAGTCAGGGCCCTCAGTTCATTCATTCAACAAAATATTTACCCAACGCCTATTACGTGTCAGGCTCGGTGCTCAGCACCAGGTGTAAAGGAATGGACAGGACAGTCTCTCGTGGAGCTGAAAGTCTAATGGGGACAGCAGACCATATTCAAGTAAACAGATCAATACCTGGGTAAATGCTAGAAGGAACCTTGAAAGCCTCCTTGAAAGTCTGATGCCTCCTTAGCAACCTCCTCCTCCATCTACAAAGCCTGCAATCAACAGGCCCTCAACTCAGGGTTCCTGGTGAGGAGAGCTTCAAGATGTTCAAAGGCAAGCAATCTGGCGGCCAGTGTGGGCCAGCGCACAAGCAGGACATCCACACCACATGAGAAAGTGGAAAGCCACAGAAATGGAGTATTTTAATAATCAAATCAGTAAGAATCAGCAGACCGAGTTCTCCCTACAATCTGTGTCAGAGAAACCCCCAGGACAGTTTTCAAAAGACAAGTTACTAAACCGACTCACTGGGCAATCATCAGAAAAGAAAACAAGTCTAATAAATATGGACAGATCGTAAAACATGGACAGGATCCAGAAGAATCTAATAAACGTGAATTCGTGTCACTGATAACACTATAAGAAATATAGACTAAATGACAGCCCTGAAACTTGTCAGTATGACTTAGAACAAAGAAGACATTTTGTTAAGGTTTCCTTTTAAGAAAGTTAAAACAATTCATTAAACATATCATCTCCTCCGAGAACATATGATACTGATATTTCTCTATTTTACCAAAGACCTCACAGGAAGGGTTTGTGTTCATTTAAAATTATTTTGCCTAAAAACCAGCCGAGAGTGTTTGGTAATCCACCAGCTGAGGACTGAGAACTGGTCTGCTGGGCAATCAGGAGCGAGAGCTTCGCACGTATCAGAGAGAAGAAACTACACGTTCCAAACCTTCTTCCTTAGCAGAATGAGGGACTCCTTGATTTTATCAACCAGGTTCTCACTCTTCCCCTCAAATTTCAGTCCAAGTTTCCACTGTTTGATCCAGTTGTATTTGCTTATGAGTTTTTCTGGTAACTGGAATATCAAGAAACAGAGAGATAAAGAATGTTAACATTCCAAAAAGTCTATCACACGATCCAAGCTATAGGAAACCACAAAGCCTACAAAACCTACCTGCATTTGCTAAACTAATCCCTGCAAATCTGTCGTGGGTGTAGGGTGGAGGACCTAAATCTGGAGGGCAGGAACTCAGAAAGTACCACCCTGCGGAGGGCTGCCAGAGTGAAATGGTGGTTTTGGCTGAGCTACAAGGGTACACTCTACTTTGCTGGGCTCCAACCACACTAGGAACACTATACAGCCCTTTGTCACGGTCCGGTAAGGAGTATCCATACCGTGTCTTCACATAAACCACCTAGGTAGCTGGTGAGCTCACAGCAACCTCCCCACCACTCCCCAACGCCTGACTCTGGGAGGCGCTTTGGGGCATGTGAGATGGTCCAGGACAAAGTAAAAACCTGCTCCTCTCCTGATTAGGAAAATAAAACCTAATTTTTGATATTAACACATATAGCATCTAGTTTAACTGTTTAATCGACATAGTAAGATAAAAAAAAAAAAACAACTAACACTAAGCAGCAGGGGCTAAGGGGGCTGTGATGGCCAAGCTCATTAAAGACGGGACAGTTGAACTACTACTGTGCCCACTTTCTTTTTTTTCTGGGAGCATTTGTTATTTTGCTTTCCTCTAATCATCAATAGGATGTGGAGTCTGAAAGGCAAGCTGGGACACAACTTGACAGATGACAGCATGGGAACTCAGACTCTCCCAACAGTCTTGGGTGTGTCAGGAGAAAATCCATATTATTAGGCTGGCACAAGCATGTCACTTCACTGCTATAAAATTTGGAAAGGAAAAAAAGGTTCACCTCCAAGTCAAAAGATCATTAAAGAATAATTAATTCCTACAACCTCCTACACGGCACCTGGGCTTGTTTAACAGTTATAAATACAGTTTTAAATGAGGCCATATGTTCAGTTCTCCTGGAATCTAAGACTTTTTCCTGAATGGTAATTCCAGTTTTACCTTCTCAATCTACAGCAATCATGTGAAATGAAGGTGGTTTTAACTCTGCAAAAAACCAAACCACAATAGGGATGTAAATTCCTCTTCAGGTGACCACAGTGATGACGATCTACAATCACTCACTGGGTGGGGAGGTTGTGTTCTCCTCATCTTATGATGACGACAAATGACCACCCACCCAAGAGCCACCCGGCTCGATGACCACACTGTCCTGGCATTACAGCAATATGGGGGCAGTTCTGCTGCAAACCTTCAGTTAGGTTCTCAGGTTTATCACCAGAACCTAAAATGCCCTCAAGTGGCAACAAGCTGAAATCACAACAGGGCACAAAGAAGGGCAACTGAGCAGAAAACATCAGCTCCCCAGATGTGAGCTGGGAAAAGGGGTAAAAGGCAGCCCAGAGACCAGCTGAGCACCCCAGGACATTGTGCAGGTATCTAAAAGGCAGGCACAACACCCAAGTGAACTACTCGGGAGACCCCACAGGTCTAACCACACGGAGGGAAACCTAAATAAAAGTCCGTTTCTTTGTTCCCTCCATGCATCGGCCAAACTGCCGCTAGAATAATTATCCAGCTCAGGGTTGTATGCTTCTGGGAGATGTGGAGATCCTGGAGAGAGTCCAAAAAGTGAGGTGTGAAAAAGAAACTATGAGGAAAGAATAATGGAGTTGGAATTATTTATTCAGAAGAAAAAAGTGAATATACATTTCAGTGCTTTTAGGGGTCATAACCCAGAACACAGATAAATAGCTATTCTTTTTTACTAGGCACACAGAGACTGGACTTCTGTTAGAATAAGGGAGATCTGAGTAAGAAACAAGACGTAAACAAGAAACAATGATGGGAAATATTTAAGAATAAAGTAGGTAATTAGCTTAAGTATGATTTCATTTGTGACTGAACTGTAAAAACAGTGCATTTTCTCTTGCAAGTGCCTATAATTCTTGAAATCACCACCAAGATTAAAGGGATAGCAAATAACAAAAGTATGTCATCCCCAAAACTAACTCGTGAGTTTTCATACAGTCTATCGCACTCTAAGCAAACAGTGTCACAGGCCCCATCCATTCAGAGACATTTTAAAACTCAGCAAATTTCCAAGGGTCCTTGGAAATGAAAGGACCTCTGCCCTGAAGGACACCACCCCTCGGGGACCCAGGTGCTGTCCCAAGTTTAAGAACAGCCAGACCAATCCACCTCCAAGGTTAGGGTTAGGGTCAGATGATCTGAGTGCAGTCAAACACCGAGACTGGGATCTAGACAGAAGCAGGAACAACACACAGGGAGCCCAGGCAGGATGACAGGAGGTGAAGGGCGGCTGACCTGCCAGAGGGGCACTGAGGGCAAAGCTCATCCTTCCAGGCTGGGAACGGAGCAAGGCCAGAGGAGCTGAGCACCGAAAGAAAGCCAAGTCTGGGCTCCCTTCCACTGAGCTCAAATTAAAGAGAGGGCCTCTCAGTCTAGCTCTCGTGTCCCTTTAACGTCCTGAAACCAAGTATGCCCCAGAAGAGAGGGAAGATGGCAAAACGCTACAGAGAACATCTTTCAATGTGCAAATGGAAGCAGGTACAGCTAGCTAAAATGTGCATGTCCCTTGGTAACAAAATATGGCTTCTCTGGGCTCAGCCAAATTCTTGCTGAAATGCACACTGAGGCCAAGCAATTAGTTTAGCACAGTGTGTAGCCTGCAGGCCTTGAGCCAAGGGTGGTTCTGGGTCTACAGATTCACACACAAACTTATATGTCCCAGGACCTGTGCGATCCCAAAAGCAGAAGAGGTAGGTTACCGCAGAGCCTGTGCAATTCAGGAGGCCCTAACAATGCTGAAACTAGATTCCCTCCAACTCGCCTGCTGAGAGCAGCCTTTTTGTGTCCCTAGAAGCAGTAGTGCTCTCAGGGCTTTTAAAGGCTCCATGGACACATAGTAATCAGGGCTGTTTGTGCCATAAACTGACCAGGACATATCACTGTCACTGGACACAGGGTAGTGGTCAGAAGAGACCCTCAACATTTCAGAAAGAAAAGGATCAGGGTAAACTGAGACAGATCCATCGTCAGAGGGCTATTGTGGGTCTGGTCCAAGTGTTTTTTTTTTTTTTTTTAAATGGCTTCACCTTCTCAAGTGGTTTAATATTTCCCCCCCCCCCAAAGCCCCAGTAGATAGTTGTATGTCATAGCTGCACATCCTAGTTGTTGTATATGGGGGGACGCGGCCTCAAGCGTGGCGGGAGAAGCGGTGCGTCGGTGCGCGCCCGGGATCCGAACCTGGGCCGCCAGTAGCGGAGCGCGCGCACTTAACTGCTAAGCCACAGGGCCGGCCCCCAAGTGTTTTTAATAGCAAGCCTACTCCATTTTTAACACAAATAATTTATACCAACTTCTAACAGCAAACAGGGTTTTACTTAATACGACAGGACATCAGCTATTCTGATATATCAAGAAGATAGGTAGGAAGTGGGCACACTGACTTTCACACCAAAACTCCTCTAAGATTTTCTTGTTTTGCAGTAAGATTTTCTTGTTTTGCAGCAACAGTTATTTAAGTACCACTTGATCTGCTCTTCTTAAGCACGTGTTAACAAATAAGTATTAAGATGTTCACCTATTACAGAGTTACACAAGTAGTATCTGGAGATGGAGAGACCCCACTTCCCAGGTGAGGTGGTGCAGGTACCCCACCACTATAAGACGCACTGCCAGCCTCACTACTCCTCTGTCTGCACACCTGGTTCCATCCCGACTTCTTCCAGGCACGCCACGCCACCCACTTGCTCACTCAACGAGGCCCCTGTTGGAGTGGACTTTCCGAGGGAAGACCGGTGGAGGGGCCAGAATGAGAACAGGAATGGAATGGAATGGCATCCACAGAAAGGCATGAGGGACAACTGGGAGGTGGTTAAAAAACAGTCTGGGCAAGCACAACCAACCCAGTCTGTGTACCCCTTCCTGCACTGGCACCTCAAATCTGAAACACGTGGTGCATCTGTCACCTGCTCAAGCCTCAGAAGTGACACAACAAAACAGCTCGTGTAAAGAAACTGCTCAGGGGCCAGCCCTGTGGTGTGGCGGCTAAGTGTGCACGCTCCACTGCTGGTGGCCCGGGTTCAGATCCCGGGCGCGCACTGATGCACCACTTGTCAGGCCATGTTGAGGCTGCGTCCCACATAAAGTGGAGGAAGATCGGCACGGATGTTAGCCCAGGGCCAGTCTTCCTCAGCAAAAAGAGGAGGACTGGCAGATGTTAGCTCAGGGCTGATCTTCCTCACACACTCACACTCACACACTCACACACACAAAAAGAAAATGCTCAAACCAAGGTAGGTCGCTGGGGTCTGGAAGGTCAACATGAGGACAAGTCTTCTAGTTGGATGAAAGCAAGAAAAGAACCAAGTCACTGCTTCACCTGACATTTAACAGAACCAAAGTTTAATAAACAAATTCTAAACTCACAGACAAGTATGATGCGCTTTTTCTCTCTGACATGGCCTCTTGGCATTCAGTAAAGGTTAGATGACAAAAATAATACCACTGTGACCAACTAATTAGATTATGCTCCCACGAGAAAAACTATATTTTTGGCTGATACACATAGAAAAGGGAAGAAATTGGAAAAGGCATTTGAGAATTTAAAAACTATTTTCACATGACTCAAATTAAGTCAGGAACCCATCTTAGAGCCCCACAGCTCATACATGCAACATATTCTAACACTGATCAGAAACCCAGTGCAAGCTACCTATACTACTTTTTTTTTTTTTTTTTTTTTTTTTTTTTTTTTTTAAATTTTTTTTTTTTTTTTTTTTTTTTTTTTTTTTTTTTTTTTAAAGATTTTATTTATTTTATTTTTACCCCCAAAGCCCCAGTGGATAGTTGTGTGTCGTAGCTGCACATCCTTCTAGTTGCTGTATGTGGGACTCGGCCTCAGGATGAACGGAGAAGTGGTGCCTCGATGCGCAACCGGGATCCGAACCCGGGCCACCAGCATCGCAGCGCGCGCACTTAACCACCAAGCCACAGGGCCGGCCCTATACTACTTTTAATATGGCCGATGATCTTACCAAAGGTATCCTGCTGGTAAAATACAAGGGACATTGTGCTTTACTCTTATAGGGTGGATTTTATATGCTTAATTATGTAGAACACTACTTATACCCAGAGTTTCTTGGAAAGTATAAACATTCAAATTCATTATGTCAATTAAGTCCATAAACTTAAACAGCCCCTTAAAGGAAAACGCTTAAAGGAAAACTCAGCCTAAAACTGAGGAGGATTTTATGTCACAATCTACAAATCGAGGTATGGTTGTCAAACAGAAGTAAAAGCAAAAAGCCAACCAAGTGAAAATCACTCGTTTGCTTCCCTAGCAGAGTCCCATATCCACGGGCAGGCTTTTGTTGACTGATCAACAGTTCTGAAATATTCTACTACTAATAAACGTCATGACTGCAAAGAAAAAAACAGCCTAGTGTATCAATCTCTTTGCCTCTCTATTAAAAAAATAAGCTAATACTAAGAAATCTGCTTAAGATGACATACATTTTTGCTTGGAAGAAAATATCTTCCATAGGTATCATTTAGACAGTTCATACAGGTGCGCTGATTTTATATCGGTTTATAAAATGGATAATCACAGGACAGACAGGTGGCATCCTCCACCCACTGGTCCTGGTTTTGCCCTTTGAGGGCGTGTGATTCCTCATCCACTTAACAGACCTCTAACTAGCTTAGCAGGCAACCAGTCTCCTCTAAGTCTTCTTTATTCTAAACAAATACCTCAGGTCCTTCAACTGTTCCCAAAACGAAATGAATCATCTTGGTCACACTCCCATCTGTACTGAGGATACAGGCACAGGGCTGCACACGGTCCTCGAGATGGGATCCCACCAGCCCAGTTCAAGCGGGACTGTCGCTGCCTATGTTTAGAAGCACTCCTTTTAAAACAGGGCTTCATTACCACCGCCAGCCACCACACGTCACGTGGGCTCATAGAGGGCTGGCAATCAATTAAAATCCTGACATATTTTTTTCTTCCCTCATAAGTTGCTGGTATGGCAGATCTCCCACAGCTGGCAGGCACTTTGAGTTTTGTTTTTCTTTGTTTTGTTTTTTTTTACATATAAGCACAGGACTTCCGATTTTTCCCAATTAAGGCAGACTGTCAGTTCCACTCAATCATTCCTGCCCACCAAACTATTTTGGGATATTCGATCATCCAACCTATGATGTGACCTCATCTGATGTGTGCTGTGGACACAAGACACACAGACACGTGACTTCGTGGGGTGTCACTACCACAGTGTGGATTTAAAACACTAAAGAGGGCGAGGCATGGGACACAGCACCTGACTCACCTCCCCAGGAAGCCTCTCCCAGGGCGACATTAATCACCTCTCCTTTGGTGCTGCTGTTCAGCTACCTACTAAGCCAACCCTCCTAACACTATGCACGGGGTCCTAACTTCTTGATTTGGAGCTACAACTACAGAATGTGCATTCTAAAATCCCAGCAGGTTCTCAGATGGTACAACATACAGCCCACTTAATACAGACACAAAAACTGAAGTCAAAGTTTTGGTGTCAAAAAAAAAAACTGCTCCTAAGTACTTCTTACAGACTAAAAACCTGCTCTCTAATTCAGCTGAATTGTTCAAATAAATTTTATCATTTTTCTCTTCTGGGAAATACCAATTATTTTTGGTGGCTGTACTATGCAAAATCACCCCAACCACACAAAACCAAATAAACCCACACGCTGACACCATATTGCAGACAGCATTAGCACATAGCACAGACAGAAAAGGGAAGTCTTTCTCACAAAAAACGATTGGAAACATTGCGGACTCAAACCTGCAGCAGCAGCGTACCAGCGTGAGCTCCGGGTCCAGAAGCCAAGAGGGCAGTGCCGCCGGCTGGCTCATGGCCTGGAACAGTGTGGCCCTCAGCGCACAGTAATTATCTCCACGGACTCGCCTTATGGAGGTGAATTTCTGAGACACCTCCTCGTAGCCCTGAGTGAAAGCATCAAAGAATTCAAAATGGTCATTACTGACTTCAGACAGTAGAGCAAGTCTTATTCCTGGGGAAAAAATGTGCCCTTGACCACCGGAAGAATGGAAATAAGGCTGACTGAGTCCTTCACATAAGACAGTCTAATTCCTTTTTTATTCATCAAAAGAAATTAACAAATATTAGTACTGTACAAAATATCAGTATATGTAATAGACACACTAGAGCATACAATATAATACGCCAAGTATTATTAAAACACCAGCCACCCCCAAAGTTGGAGTTATATCTCCCATTCTCAGCAATTGTTGTAACACTCACTTATTGATAACCAACATTCTAAAGAGTTTAATCTGTGTTTAAATTGACCCTAAACTCCTTCATGAAGAGATAAGAAAGGAGAGAGATATAGTAAGTTTGTATCTCCGTATTTACAAAAATACTCCAAAATCCCAAGTTTCCATGGTATATTAAAAAAAGTCTACATGCTAGGAGATGTCTGGATAATTCTGCTGGACTTTTTTAAAAAGTGGATTTAAGTGTCATTCTTATTCAGTCTGGAAGTGAAACAAGGAAATGAAAATGCTCAGTGACTTTCTCAGTCACTCAAAAACAGCCATCCAAATGGACTGTTTTAAAGCACACCCCAAAAAAGGACACCATAAAATCCTAGTGACCTAGTGCATAGGCCCGATTTCTCTGGCTGGACACTGCTCAGGCCTCGGTAGGGACTTCACTGCCTCCCCCATCTCACTCACCCCCGTCCTGTAGGTCCTTTCTCTCATCCTGCTCTTCCTCGACAGTCACTCGTAACCCTGCTCCCTACCCTGCACTTACACACAGGAAAAGCTGTCACTCTCACCGTGGGGTGGACATTTGCAAAAAGTCATCCCGCGTCCAACCAGCGCACCCTCATTCTTAGTTGTCACAGGATGACATTCTAAGTGGATATGAAAGTACTTCTTTCCAATAATAAAATTTTGAGTCGCATTTTTATTTAACGGTCCAACCATTACAACACATAAGGGCCCATTAAGCAGACTCACGCTTACGAATGTGCACCTCTTCCCTGTGGTGGACCCCCATTACCCCCAAATTCTCACAATGGCTAGGTCAACAGCAACTGCCCCTTTCCAAATGCAGGGATTACTCATGCTATTTCAGAGGTGAATCAAACTTTTAAATTAAATTTTGATTTATACACACTTACTTCCAAAAGAATATCCAAAACAAAAACAGACACAGACAAACAAGGACTGGAAAATAACTGAGATCCAAGCTGTTACCAGGCTCTGAGATGCTCTAATTACTGCTGTGGGTCCTGATGTGATGCTTTTCTGACTGACATGCCTTTGATTATTTGGTCACAGAAAAGTCCAACTACAGGGTCAAATCTTTCCCTCAAACTATAATCACAGAGGAATGACTTCAGCGTGAGTTCCAAAATATGGAACATTTGGATAACTTAATAGATATCTTCAATTATGGACCTTAAGGTACAAACTGTTAGAATAGAGATCCTTTAAAGAGATTGAGGTCATAAAATTGTAAGTCAGTGAAAGCATTTCTGGAGTAGGTGAGAAAATAGAGTGCAGATATCTGGCCTTCTGGTTATCTAGTTTGATACAGGGCTGGAGGCTGTTAGAAAATCTGAGTGGCCGATACACACTTTGGGAGTGGGTCAAGGGGTCTGACCTGAGCAGTGACCTGGCCCTGTGAGTCACAACAGGACCACGTCATGGGAATCCCCTCCATTCCATGGCCTTGGAGACTACCTTAGGGTCACCAACCTATGCAATGGGACTAGGAGGGAGCAGCTCCTGGGATGTACAAAATGCAGAGAGCAATTTCAAATCCTTCCACAAAGGGAGTGCAGGAGGGGCCAGGCACCTAGGACTGAAGGGCATAAACCAAACCCGGGTGGGGACAAGAAGGAGGTATAACCTCTGAGGCTTTTACCTCACCAGAAGGGCATTCCCAAATGACGCCAAGAGGACAACTAATGGCTGGCCCAACTCTAAACAGCACAAAGTCATTTACGTGTTTTTCAAAGAAATCAACTTACTATATAACTGATGCTGCCTCTATATTAATACTGTGACTTGAAACAAGTCCCTTATCTTTAGAGTCTGTTTCCTCAGCTCTAAAATTAGAACACCAATTAGAACACCAATATTTACATAGTCTAATAGCAGTTGTCATAACTAACGTCTAAAAATATAAAAGAATATATTAAATAATTACTTAATAGTTACCATAGACTATTGGTAAGACTCGAAATATGCACATCTAGGCATCATACCTTTTTCATACACGTCGCTTTCTGTGTATTTCCCCTCCATTCTTTTTTGCAGTAGTCCATGATATCCATTTCAGGAGCTACACTTAATCTGAGTTCTGTTAAAGAATAAAAAAAGGGGGAGGGGGTTAATGAAACAAAGCATAATCAGAATAACAGTACTGCTTCACTTGGGTGTTACTGTCTCTCTCACTTCATTCCAAAAAAATCCAGGATCCCCTCCACCACCTACCCCCTGGTCCAGACCACCATCATCTCGTTCCCAGATAACCACAGAGGTCTCCCGATGGGTCTCCCTTGTCACCACACCCTACTGACCATTCTCCACATGCAGCCAGAGTGATGCATTTAAAACATAACTCAGACGATACCCATCACTCCTGCGCTCTGAGAGCTCCAGAGACTTCCCATCTCACTTGGAGTGGCATCAATGTCCTTACTACCTACAAGGGTCCCCTGCCTTGACCCCTCACTGCCTCTCTGGCCTCCGCTCCCATCACTCCCTTCACTGACGGCTCCTGCCTCACCTGCAGCCTCCTCTGTACTCCTCCAACACACCTGGCTCTTCCCAGGTACCTGCTCCCTCACTCCATGCAGGTCTCTGCTCACCTCTGACACTCCTCTATCACAATGTCTCACACACATCTTCACTCCATTCCCCTTACACTGTTTTGTTTTTCTCCTTGGCACTAATCAACACCTGACATATTTCTTTTTCTCCACTCCCCCCACACTCCCTACACACAAACAGAGTGAAGCATGAGCTCCTTGAGGGCAGTGACTTGTTTTATTTCTTGGCTGTGTCCTCAGCACCTGCAACTGCCCTGACACAGGTGTCCATGAATACTGTTCTATCAATTAAAGATGCAACAGTCTGAGCTACGAGAAAATACATCTAATGATTTGTAATTCATTTTTACATCCATTATACAAAGAGATAACACCTCCATAACAAAAAGTATACTTAACTGTCTTTATTTATATCCTGCCCAGATCTCAAAAGGCTCTAAGTGGTTGATAATGAGCCAGAAACTAACAGAGCCCTCAACGTTAGCTGAACAATAGACCTCATTCGACTCTAATAACACATCCCCAAAATTAAAAATACAACTTACGATGAAACAAATGACACAGTAAAAAAACTGGCCTTTAGATTTCCCTTGTTTAACACGAGGTTTGGAGTCGACTTTGTGGTAGACGCGTATGCACGCACATGTGTATGTCTGTGTGTGTGTTTCAGGAAGAAAGAAGGGTAAATTCTCAAGCATGTTTTGACTTCCTTTTTAAATTATTGAAGAAGTAAACGTTAGCAAAGAGATTAAGGTATAAACACTGAAGTACTTTACAACATATTTACTCTGGAGGAAGTTGTACATAAAATAAAAACGTTACAACCAGCTCAATTCAACAAATATTTGCTGAGTGTCTAATATGTGCCAAGCATTGAGCTGGGAGCTAGGGATACGCAGGCGATAAAGACCCAGATTCTGTGCTGAATGGGTTTACAGACTACTGAAGAGGAAAAGGCAACAGGCATTACCAAGCCAGAGTGTGATGGATGCTGGAGCGATTGACTAACGAGCACAAGAGGAGCCCCTAAGCCTAAGCCCTTCCTGCAGTTTAGTAAATCAATTTTTTTAATGCAAAATGGAAGAATTGCCTATTTTTATAATTTTATTTATTTATTTATTTTCCCCTCAAAGCCCCAGTAGATAGTTGTATGCCATAGCTGCACACCCTTCTAGCTGCCACATGTGGGACGCGGCCTCAGCATGGCCGGAGAAGCGGTGCATCGGTGCGCGCCTGGGATCCAAACCCGGGCCACCACCAGCAGAGTGCGCACACTTAACCACTAAGCCACGGGGCCGGCCCAGAACTGCCTATTTTTAAAAATCTCACTGTGAAGCCTTTTATAAAGAAAGTAGGCCTTTCATATAAAAGAAAAAATAACACATATACAAATAACATAGATACATCTATCTGTGGCATAAGTCAGGATTAGCTTAAAAGTGAAACAGACCCCTGAAGCATGATATTCAGAGACCACAAATACCAACGCTGCACAGCCAATCCTCAAATAAAGACCTATCCTTGTTTAAATTCAAGAAACACTTTTTGAGTCTCTACTTAGTGGAGGGAATAGTTCTCTTGTCTCTGCCTTCCATTTGCCTCTCCACAAGGCAAGATGAACTGCAAATGTCCAGAGTCAAGGACATTTACCGGGCCATGTTCTCTCAGCAGGCAGAGCACGCTTCCAGTTCAGGAAGGGCCTCCTGGGGAGAAAGTTCAGCCTTCCTGCTCTCCTCTCCTGCACCCCTCATTCCAGTCCTCAGTCCTGCACACACCAAGATAAGACCTGGCCCCTGGGCCCAGCCCCTCAAGACTGAGGGGAGGAGGCAGGAGGCCTCAACTGGCCAAGAGGTCAAGCCACAGGCCACAACCTGTGCTGAATCAGAGGCCTGCGTGAGACAGTGAGGGTGGGGTAATGGGGTACTCGTATAGCTGCTAGCATCAAAACAATGCTTTCATTCCTGTCCTGCTGCTATTCTTTGGGAGGAGGGCTCCAACAGCCACTGCACGCCATCCTCTAGGCCAGGAGCTGGAGGCACAGGCCAGGCAGTGCCTGACCTCAAGCGGCTTAGAGGACACAACAGGTCCTTTCTTTGTTTAATGGCAAACGACATAGACTCTGATTACTTTTTCCAGGAAAGAATATCTCTAATGGAAAAATAACAAAACTCAAAGGGGAAAGCTGAAAACCAGAGTGGCAACAAGGAGCTAAAATAACCAAGAGGTCTGGTCCTTAACCACCATATGGTGATTCAAGGGACTCTCGGAAAATGGGAAGTTAAAACTGAATCCCCTCCAGAAAGCCGGGACTCTCCATCAGAGGGTGGGCTAGGGCAAGAATTGCAAACTTTTTCTGTAATAGGCCAGAGAGTAAATAACACAGGCTTTGAAGGCCACAAGGTTTCTGTCACAACTACTCAACTTTACCATGCGTGAAAGCCACCATGGACAATATGTAAACTAAGAAGTTTCAATAAAATTTTATTTACAAAACCAGGTGGAGTGTCAAATTTGGCCAGGGAGCCATAGTTTGCTGACCCCTGAGCTAGACGAAAAAGAAAACTTTTCTCTAACAAAGAGAAAGCATAAGAAAACTTTCTGCCTTGGTCTGGGTTCTGGCTTGTGGGGAGAGGAAGTCTCCCCCGAGATTTCATAACCACAGGCCGGCTGTCATACACGGACAGGGTGTGAATGCAGACTAGCCACAAGACCCTGGAAACTTACGTCTAGAAACTAACATAAAGTGGCCCAAGGTAGGTGATACCCTGGGTGCCTGGCAGAAACAAGGCCAAATTCTCTCACACTCAAGCCAGATTACACAACTCTACAGAGATACACAAAAGTTGAGCTTACAATTCAAACTTTGAAGAAACAAAAAATAAGAAAAACAGCAATGGCATAATTAGACCTGCCAGGATTTTCAGGGAATGAAACGATCAGACCCAGAACAGTATGTTTGAAATACTTAAATAAATAAAAGGAATAAAAAACATGAGCAAAGAGCAATAAGCTATCAAAAAAGACCAGCAAAGCTGGAGGGAAAACAGAACTTTTCCAAAAAAGAAAGAGGAAAATAGATCTGACAAGACTGTCTGGAACGCTACAGAGGCTGCACGATAAAAAATATATATGAAAGGATGTGTAACTGAGAACCCTGAATGAGGGCCAACATCTAATCAGAGTTCTGAAAGAGGTGAATAGAGGGAATAGGAAAAAGGCAATTTTCAAAAAGATAATGGCTGAGAATTCTCCCAAACTGATGAAAACTAGGCATCCAAGAATTAAAAAAAAAAATCTCAAGCAATATGTTTAAAAAAAAATCCATACTTAAGAGACATCAGGAGAAACTGCAGAACACGGAACACAAAGAGAAAACAAAGGGAAAAGACATTATCTACTAAGGATTAGTCTGACTGCAGTATTTTCAACTACAACAGAAAACAGAAGACAATGGAATAAACCTTCAAAAAGATTACAGAAAACAAGTATTCATCTGGAGTTATTAAAGACTGAAAGTGAAATAAAGAAATTTTCAAACAAACAGCTTCCTACCTGGAAGTTCTGACCCTTACAGAGACACTTCCAAAGGATGTTATGTCAGGAAGGGCAACGAACTCAGAAGAACTGAGATGCAAGGAGGAGTGTGAAGGGATCCATTTCAATCTCAGATTAAAGCTGGTAGTGACAAGGCCCACTGAAAAGCTAAAATGCCTGCACAGGGCTACACTGGCGGACAGAAGAATCCTAACAGACAGCCTGCAGAGTGAGACGGAAAGCAAGAGGTCCCTGCAAATGCAGCAGGAATCGACAATGGCCAAAGAAGCACTTTCTCCTCAGGAACAGGACTTATAAAGACTCTGCATCCTAAGTGAATGTTGTGCAACTGCAGCAGTAGAAACCAAGCATCCTGTGAAGTTTTATCGACTGGAATAGTGTGGCCCAGGAATACACTTGATCAGACCACTACAAAGAACATCTCCTATGGCTACCACAGGGAAGAGTTCGATCAATTCCTTGTGAGGAAGACTCAGAAATTATCATCAAAAACCCTACTCTGTGTCATTTGTTCCTAATTACACATATGATAATACTTTTACTAATCATAAAGTAAACAGACGCTAGTTCTCAAAACAAACCAGTAGAGGCGCCAGCCCAGGGTTCACAGGTTCGAATCCCAGGTGAGGACCAATGCACCACTCATCAAGCCACGTGTGGCGGCGTCCCATATACAAAATAGAGGAAGATGGGCACAGATGTTAGCTCAGAGCCAATCTTCCTCACAAAAACAAAAAAACAAACAAAAACTCAGTAGAACATACACATTAGACAGGCAATGAGAGAGAAAATGCCACTTGTGAATCATCTATGGCGTATCCCCAAATTGGAGCATCCCCACTCAGCTCCTACATGAGGCTAGTCAGGGAAGTAACGAGGCACTTCTCCACACACAGCCCTGCCAGCCACCTGCAGGGAGAATGGGAGTAATGCCTTTCCCCAGCAGCAGTGGGTCCCGATGGAAGCGGGAAGGGCAGGCATGACTGAGCAGAAACATGGACACAAAATCACAAAAGGACGAGAGAATTAGCACTCTCAATACTATGATCAGAACTTTCTTACAAGTCAATCGAATTCACATGGCCATCTGTATGCAAAGACACGGAGAGCCAACTTCTCAGTAAGTTCTTCCACTTGAAATGAAAAACGTATTTCAAATCCAAACTCTCCCTCTAAGTATATAAGGAAATCAAGAACCAAGAGATTAAACAAATCCTCACAGCTGCAAAAATGATATGAATGAAAAGAATGCAGGGAGAATATCTGCATTTAAATTTTAAAACCTCAGGAAACAGTCTTCCCCAAACATACTTCAGCAAATGCAGAGAAGACCACATGCATAAAGATGTTTCCCAGGAAGTACATCTCAGTATTTTATGAAAATGGATACACCAATTTAACCACATTTTATACTATAAACAGTAAGAACCCTATAAATAAAACAATTCCGAACATACCTGATGATCCTTTTTCATGTATAAGTAATTCTTTCTCCTTTTCTATTTCATCTGCGTCACGATACATGTCCTCCTCGCTGAAATCACACCAAATTAGACATTTCAAAAATTTGTTGCACTGACATTTTCCCACTTATCACAATATACAGCTGCTAAAAAAATTTATAAGACACTAAAAGTTTCATCTTTCATATCACATGATGACAATCTGATAAAATATGGGTCTTATATCTTAGATGCTCATGTTCTATCATTCTACTTCACAGTTTCTTAGTTTAAATGAGACATTTTACATCACTCCACTTGCTACACGGCTCTGAGGCCATTTCAATTTTAACGTCTATTAATGCCTCAACTATGTATGTAAGCATCTTAGTATGGTATCAGCAAAGCTCTGACATGATTCTATCAAGTTCCAAGAATGGACATAGTGCTAATAAAAGTATTTATACAGGAGTGCAGGCCAACTGCCAACTTTAGTATATCAAAAGCAAATTTTTACAATAGCTACCCTAAAAACAAGGATAGGAGAGCATTAACTATTACAAGTCCCCAAAGCTAAAAAACCTCGAGGCACCTCCTGTTCCCTGACCCCCACATTCAAGCCGCCACCCATGTCCTGCTGAACACATCCCCATTGCCCCACTTACTTTAACTGCTGCCACAACTACTGACTTGGTACTTATATAATAGCTTCTAAAGAGTCTCTAGTCTCATTTAGTGAACTAACAAGAACCTACTGAGTAACTAGAAAGGGAGAAAAACTCACTGGATGCTAGACAAGGGTGAAGAATAGGACTTCTGGTTTTAAGATGCCTCAAGATACACCATAACATGACAATGATGGGAAACAGAAATGCCAACTCTATCTTCACTGAAACCATAAGACATGTGAAGGCCCAAATAGCCCAAAAGTGGACAAAGGAATAGTAAACGACAGAGGACAGGAAAGCAGGTGGAGGGGCATCTGCTGGAAGGGAAGACCAATATGGTGGAGAGGCGGCTGCCGGAATGGAAGACCAATATGATGCAATATGGTGGAGGGGCATATGCCGGAAGGGAAGCCAGTAAACCCTGCACAACCCCACAAAGGCTGGGGACTTGGAGGTGCCAAGTATTTCAGAGGGTACAGGAGACACCCAGAGCTGAAAACAAGAAACTGGCTGACATATGCATAAGGACTCTGAATTCCCTATACTCCCTCCCCATGACAGCACACCTCCATCCTCACACAAAACGGGAGGCTCCAGCCACAATGGAACATAGGAAGGAGGAGTTAATAGGGTCAATAAAAAATAAGCAATTAAGTGAATGACTGAGATACTACCATTCCCAAGTCCCTTAGCACACCCACTCCTAGCACACGGCCTAGCACAGCCGGGGGAAAGAGGAAAGGGTGAGAGGGACAGCGAGACAGATGAAGGGATGTGCTGAGAGGCAGACTGAGGTGGGGAATCTAATGTACCCACTTGCCCAACCCCACTGAAACCCATCAATGGCTCCCAGATAAGCAGGGAAGTCTGATCTGGACCTGGCCCACCACTCTAGCCTGTATGCCATGATTTCCCTACACACACCCACACCAGTCCAAACACTTGACCAACACTAGCCTGCACTTTTTCACCTGTGATTGGCTCTGCCTATTCCCTCTGTCTGAAAGGCTCACTGCCTAACACATCAGGACACCTGCTGTGTGGGTGACCCTGCTGTAGAGTGCCATGGCTGTAGTAGGGACCCTGGAGTTCGAATGTCAGGGTCTAACCACTCCCCACTCCAGCCTTATTAGCTGTACGTATGACTGTGGAACTAAAGTAACTACACGTCTCAGTGCCTAAATTTAACCACTTGTAAAAAGGACAGTAAGAGTACTCACCTCAACAGATCGTTCTGAAAAGAGACATGTAAAATAATTAGCATGCAAAAAAGTTAGCTATTCTTATTAATTCTTATACTATATCCATATGCATTGGTGCAGGGTATTCATAAACAATTTGCTCGATGATCATTTCTTATTCCTTTTTTTCTCTCTAAATAAAGGTGATGGTGTGTGGGTGCCCATTTTTTTAAAGTTGTGGAGTTGACGGGACATATTAGGGAAAAGGTACTTTCCGTGTGCTCTGACTCCAGTGAGATTTCAAGCAAAAGGTGTGATGTCACCCACGGAGCCCGTGCCAGAGTTAAAAGCAAACAGATTCACAGGGATGACACATGAAACACCTGAAATAAAAAGTGACTACATGTGTTAGTTCTTCTTTCACTACTTTCATGATGTCTTTTAGCCCGCTTCCTAGATTTATCAAATAGGAGAGAAATTCTGATCCTATAAAACAGGCAAGTGAGTGAATCACTTTCATAATAGCTTATCAGAAGCATGTCTTCAGACAACCTGCTTCCCTAAACTTGGCCTCAGTTTTCTTATCCTCAAAATGAGAAGGCTGGACAAGATCTATATGATCTACCTAGTTCCTCTTCCAGTTCTTAGTTCCAACAGACTATGAATCTATTTGTCATTAAAAACTGTGCTTCACGTGAATTCTGTGGCTATGCCGCATGCACATTTGGCTCCACTTTCGTGCTCCTTTTTAATCTACAAAATGACCAAAGTGCAATTACAACCCCAGTACCCAGACGAGGCTCTCTAAACAAGCATCTCTCAGTCGAGCCTCAAACACAAATTCCCACAAAGGCCGACAGGAGAGGAACGGAAAGAAATCAACAGCAGAACTAAATGCAAAGGGAAGACAAACAGAAAGTGAGATTATTGGAAATAAGAAGCAGTGATTCAAGATATACAAAAGAAGCAAAGCAGAAATTGATGAATGGGAGGCCCAGAGTAATATTCAAATTACTTGAGCCACAACTAGATTTCATTCAGATCCTGTGCACAAATGTTTCCTAACTTCCATGGCTATCAAGGACATGTAACAAAGGACATCTGCTAACTTTCCAAGGCCACCAAGGAAATTGTAATACGGCCTTTAAACGTCACCTGAAAAATGATCCGAAAGCTGTATTTCCTTGGAAAGAGGATAAGTTTCAAGTTTAAGCAATAAAGCTCAATCAATATGGTCAGAAAAGAAGATATTTAACAGCTTTGGCTGTTGGATGAAATATTCATTCAACATAACGACAATCAACTGAAAAGAGAGAGAAAGAGAGACGTGTGAAAGTGAGAAAAATAAAAATAATTTTATTTAAGAAATTACTTGATTCAATAAACTTTTGCTTTAACTTTTTAAAGTATCAAAATGTTAATGCTGAAAATAAAGACAAAATAAAATTATATTTAAAGTTGGGAATCTGAAATAGCTAAAGGTTTGAATTTTTGTTACGAGAAAAGAACATAATGAAAGGAAAAGGGACATTATATGATAAGATAAAATCATCAATGCTGAAGTTTCAGAAATTTGGCAATCTTTCATGTGTGTCAAGTTGGGGTGGGGGTGGGGAGTGTCCACCATTTGGCACAAAAGAGGCCACTGAAGCCCACCGACTAGATCACCACAGCAAAAAGTTTCCTTCTAGAAAACACACAGATAACTAGAAAAGTAGTAAAGAGAAGCAAGACAAAGTCTTAAAAGCAACTTGATTTTTTGGGGACCATGGCATGTGAATTACACAGTTGTATTAAATTTTAAAACCAAAAGGCTAATAATACCTATTTAGAAAATTCTTAGTTTACCACCATAATGTTATTTTCAAGCTCCCATTTTCTATTAAGCTAGAAATGATATATTTCATTCTTAATATTAAGGCAATACACACCGTTGAGTAAGCTACATGATTTTGCATACCAAATGATAACTTTCCCCTTGCTCTGTTCAAAGATCTGCATAACAATACATTTTTGAAAACTTCATTAAAAAACGCTTACTGCATATAGACAAAATTATACTATTCCCAAGAACAAAAGCTATAAGCTAAAAACAGCTCAGCGAAGCAAAAGACATTTCTGTGAAGCTAATTTTTCAATTTCTAATCCAAGTAAACATGAAATATAAAAAAAGTCAATGCTGACGTACATGCAAAGTTAACTAGACAGCATTTTAATCACTCACCATTATGAATCTTTACACCAAGTTCCCCTCAGTTGTCTAAAAAAGCTACACTGACTACGACTTTGTTCAGCTCTCTGGACTAAAGGCTTAAGTTGGCCTGTTCTAAAAGACTAATGGCCCAGGCAGCATTGGTGAGACAGTGTCAACCACTGTGACACCAATGCGCCTTCCCACACAGGCACAGGAAAAGCAAAGACCACTCAACCCAGCCTTTCTCCACCCCTGAGCGGTTGTAGAGATGGGTGAACAACACATCAAGTGCAGGAAAGTACCGGCACCCAGGCCAAAATTCCGCCTCCTTTCTGCAAGTGGACTTTCCATGACTGGCTCATGCTACTCCACGTGACTTCCAGAGGTATCTGGGGACAATCCAGACACCCTCAACAGTGAGGTTTGATTCTCAGAAACATCCCAGCTCTGGACTCTGAAGCAGGCTCTATATCTGGGTGGGCAAAGCGGCAGGAAGGAGTAGCTGCTACCCCATCAAACGTACCCCCCAGGAGCTAAGGTGGGAGGTGGGTGGGAAAACACACTGGCTCAACAGTATATTTAGCACACCCGAGAACAGTGATTTAACAATTTGTTATTGTTCACAGCCCTTTTGAGAATCTACAGCTTTCATCAGAACCTCAACCCAGAAAAACATAAGTATACATAACATTTTGCCTTCAGTTCCAAAGGGGTTCACAGACATACGCTCCCCACCAAGCAGCCAGCCTATGGACCCCATAGTGAGACCCTATCCCATCATAAAGCAGACAGGGAAGGGCCAGGGAGTAGTCTCGCTTCCCAATTCCCTAAGCAGATCTGGCCTGGCCACCAACCCTGTCCCAGGACCATCTTGGTCCTCAAGGTTGCAGTGCAGATTAGCTTAGCTAAGGGAAAGAGTGGACAAGGTATAAGTTTCAAAAGCAGGGGTGGGGTGAGCAGGGGATAGAGCACTGGAGACCCGCTGACAGGAGCAGTGACAAAGTTCAAAAAAAGTCAACTAAATCTAGTCTAAGACTTCTTCAAATGGGACCCTAAGTCATCCTGTGAGCCATCCCTAGGGCTTGTCCAGGGGCTGCCAGCCAACCACAGCTCTCAAATGAGCTA